GTTTGTTCTGTAAAGAAAAGTTATGTACATGGAAAACTCTTGACTCCGGTATCGAGTTAATTTGTGAGTTTCCCAAACGATGAATCATAACCAAAACCTGTTTCTGATAGCTTCTAATTGTTTCTGCTTGTTTGGCGAGTTTGCAAAAGCTTTTGAAAGGAAAGTCTGACGCGTACATTAAGTAGCTCATTTGCATAGTGTAGCACGTGCACTTTCAAATCCGAGTCGGTGTTTTCAATTGACAAGAAATCTTGACAAAGATTTTAGTCTTTCGCCGTCTTTTGTGCCGAGATGCTGCAACAATTTTCACCAACACCAAAACGCTACTAACATCATGTGTGTTTCTTCAACACAGTGAAATTTTACACCGCGAAAATATGATAGACAAGGAATTTTGATAGCTCAACCAACAAAATCGAAATCGTTATTCCACAGGTCACCCAAGCGTAGTATAAGGGTTTGTATGGAGAACTGTGGCTAAAATATAAGAGTTTGTATGGAGATCAGGAGTTGACATTAAATTTGTTCAATATATGGGTAATTTACCGAATACAGACTTTTGAACATTCAATGGTATCATTTTTTCTCACCCTGGAGAGTTAAAACGAGATTTGAGCGAATTTTGAAAAATTTGTCCTAACGCTGTTATTGTAACACCGTAGGACAAATTTTTCACCGTGGGACAAAGTTTTCAAAATTCGCTCAAATCTCGTTTTAACTCTCTAGGGTGAGAAAAAATGACACCATTGAATGTTCAAGAGTTTTTATTCGGTAAATTACCCATACATTAAACAAATTTAATGTCAACTCCTGATCTCCACACAAACTCTTATATTTTAGCCACAGTTCTCCATACAAACTCTTATATTACGCTTGGGTGACATGTGGTTATTCGAGTTGAAAGAAAGCGTCATCGTAACTTTGCTGATTATTTCTGCTGTATTCACATATTTTCAGCCAAGCTTTTAATATGTTCTGAAACATTTATCAACCTTAAACATATTTAAAAACTAGAGATATTATATGAGTTCGATGTACGTTTTCATACGAAAGTGGGGAAGTCCAATTTGTCATGACTGTACAAAACTTGCTTCGGCGGGCGCTCTTTATTCATCGACAACGGACAATTTATTGGATTTTTACACAAACAAAACTGAGCAGCATCTACAGACATAAACTTTATTGTCACTCATCGGGCCTTGATAAAACATCAAGCGTTGCTTACAATTCAGGCGAAACTCGAACTTGCCATTTTTTTTTTTTTTTTTTTTACTTTTCAGTCGAGATAGATTCTGGCGAAATTCTCGCAAGCGTGTGGCAAGAGTAGGGAAACTTTGAACTCCTGAGACGCTGCTATATCCAAATATATCCAGCTAGTTTTTTGCTGTGTTTTGAGAAAGGTGTTAATCTTCAACATATGTGAAACTTAGAGTGGAGTAATGTGGAGATCAATTAAAAGAAACAGCGGAACGCAACTTGGTCGGTGATATAAAGCGGCACATAACTAAATTCGACACTGTCTTACTTTACTTAAACTGGAGCAGCTTACGACAAAAATACTGAAGTAAACTTCCGACAGACATGAACGTATTGAGTTGTGGGCCAAAAGCATCAAACATTTCGCGAATTTCGGACGCCATTTCCCCGCGCTACATCCGTAAAAATCCTCGCAGCATGTACGCCCGTGTGCCGCACGGGATGGCGCAATTTGTTCTAAAAATAGAAAAATTGCCTCATATCATAGGTACAGTTCCAATACTAGAAATGGCGCACGCTTACGGTCTCCGTCTCCGATTATGGCTCCTGTTATTATCTAAAACTATAAGGCAGTGACATAACATAACTCCATTTATTTCAGAGCCTCCTCTATACATCACTAAAGGCTGCTTACATCGCTTACATGAAGTATCATATCTCCTTAAGCCTTTTGTCTGTTGCAAATGACCTCTACTTGGTGTCCCGGATTCAGAATAGTGATGCCGCTGGCCAATGCAAGTCTCAAGTGTCAATTTTCGGGAAAGCCCTTAAACGTCACACGATTGACAAGTTCAAGGTAAACATCCCGGATGTTTGTATCAAAACATGTGTGAATGAGCCAAGATGTCAGAGCATCAACTATGAGATGGAAGAGCGTATCTGCGAGCTTAATAACCGAAGTAAGGAAGCAAGACCTGAAGATTATGAGACAGACCCCGGTCGTATTTATTTGACCGTTTCCCTTAATAAAGGTAAGTGTTCAGTTCAGCAAGTGTTCTGTTTGTCTCGAGAATTTGGTGGCCTCTAAAAAACTCTCTGTCCAGCTAGTCCAGTATCATATTTATTTCAGAGATTTAGTATTGACACGTGTTTGTGCTGTGTGTGCTACATTTTCGTTATTTTGACTTTCGGTAGCCGTCGGGTCCAGTCCCAAGGTACCAGCTATGTCGTGTTTGGAAATCAAGGCGAGTGAAGGGCAAGAAGCAGTCTACGGTTATTACTGGTTGGATCGTGATAACACTGGTGAAGCCATTCAGACATATTGCTATATTGGGAAAGGTTAGTTGGGTGTCTCAGTGAGATGGTTCTCAGTTTTTGTGGTTATTGTGGTTAATGATGGATGATACTCCCCATGTAGGCCAAGGGTTGCATGTATGAGGTTCTGCCGGCTTAACGTTTTATCTCATTTCGGACAAATTTCGGACAACAATTTAGGACACTTTGCTGAAACATCGCTAAGGTAAATTTACACCTACAAAACGCGAAACAGCATATCAATCAAAACTCCCAACAGTATCAGTTTGAGATGAGTTCTCTAATGGTGCATAAATAAGGTGGGCAAAGCAAAAACTGACAATTCTCAAACTTTGTGTAGAAGATTACGCGGTTCACGCGGATAATGGTTTCACGCACGTTGTGTAGAATGAGAATGGATATATCGATGTTTGGCCGTTGTACTCCTATTAAGACCCTCTCGGTCCCTAGCTTATCTGACATGTAAATCGTGAAGTAGCACGAATTCTTCAGCGTTAATCAAGCTGGAAGCGTGAGCCAGGAGAACAGTGTCAGGAAACTTTGCCACGGTTTTCAAAACTTTTCGTTGGATTAAAACACGATAAACATCAATGGCCGTGGTCCACGTTCTCGCTCGTAAAATTCGTGATCTCAATTTTGGCGGGAACTCCAACACAACGTAGCCCTGCTAGATCCAGACTTCTCACGTTGCCGTTGCCGTCGCCGTTGTCTGACCGTAAGGTCTCTAATATTCGCGTAAAGCCTCTTGGGCTGTCCACATGAGTAATTGGCGCGTCACATGATGTACTATGTCTAGATCCCCTGGAATGAAAAACCAAAACGGGGAATTAACTCTCCAACCCTTCATCCTGTCTTTTTTAAACTAACATTTCACCTCTTTACATTACGGTTGACAGAAAACTCACGAAAATGTTTAAAAAAAATTAAAAATGAATCCCCGTTGCTGTAGAATACTGGGGTGCAAAAAAATAAAGTTAATACCGCAAGAACAGAAAAAAACTACCATTGCAATTTGTGGAAGTAACATAGGAAAATTTGCCCGTTTGGTCTTTCATAAACACGACAGCCATAGCTCACTCACATACTAGGTGACGAAACTCAAGAACCAAAAAGAAATAGTTTAAACGGAGACTTTCGTACATTTTTTTTCCTCATTGTGTTTCTTACCTTGGGAATTATATCCATACGACCCGCAATTTTTTTATGTATTGTTTTGCATTTTATATATTAAAATTACACCTTATACTTTTTCACTTTTTAAGAGTGGATGTCTCTAAAAATCAAAGAAAAATAAAAAAATCGCGGACATGGNTTAACTTGATAATGGCGTAACGCAGCACCGAAACGTCGTTCGCTTTTTTAAATGTCTTTTAAAATTCTTTTAGCGTTTAACTTATTTATCAATTCATTATACCTTTAACGACTAAATGTTCGGCCATTTTACTCCTATCAAGACCCTCTTGGTCTCTAACTTACCTGATGTGGAATATTAACAACCTCGGAAGAATTGTGTACCACGTCTAAAAATAACTTAAGACGGATTACCCTGGATACAAGGCCTATATGGAAGATTCACTCTTTTACTTTGATCTTCTCTTGTTTATAATCGTTGCTATTTCATTTCACGCAATGATCGCTGAATATGGAAGAATCCATTATCCATTATCCATTATCCACTGTGTATACGCAACTATTCTCACTGCATATATAATTAGCGTATCGCGATAGCGCGCTACATTCCGCTAATCCCGTGGGTCTAGGTTAGTGGCGTCTAGTATGATCCTTTGCGGCCTTTCGAACATAAAATCTGGCCGCGTAGTGCGAGATCTCGCAGTTTGACGAGATTGCCGTGGGAAGACGCTTTGCGCCCCTGCCTCCTCCCCTGGTGGCGGTGACCACCTCTCATCCGGCCTTACTGCATATCTTTTGCTTAGGCGGTCGCGGATTCCTCCCATAACAATAGATATGCAGTGAGGATAAATTACTAACCTTAGCAGTCATTTGCCGGCTGCCGAATATTACTAGTTTTGTTTTAAGCTGGGTTGAGTAATAGTTGATTATCAAAGCACCAATTCCGAATACATAACAAGTCCTTATTCATTTTTGCTATCGCTTCGTGCTGATCGTGGAGTTGAAATGACATGAGTAGTTTGGTATCGTCGACGTAACACTGCGATGAACAATTTTCTGGCGCAGAAGGGAGTCATTAACATAGATGTTAAAGAGTAATAGACCAAGGATGCTCCCTTGTGGAACGCCAGAGCTAACAGGTAGTTTGGTCGACAGAGTCTTCTACAACAATGAAAATTAACACACGGCGAAACCTGTGGACTGTAAACTTGTCGTGACATTGCAATGGCAAAGCTTTTGAAAAAGCTCTTCAAGTCTTGGCCAATATTTTACAGTGCGTTATCGCGTAATAGGCCTCACCAGAAGTCGAGGGAAAACTAGAAAGGAAGAATTTCCCGGTACAAGAATTATTATTGTTGTTATTATTGTTAATATAGTATAAGTTGTAAGTGTTGTGCGCGCGGCATGACTTATTCAGCATTATTTTATTAAAAATTGATTTTTTTAAGCTCTTAAAGCTCGTAGACCCAGTGATAGATACTGGTAGAGAATTCCAGATATTAGGATCTTAATAGAATAACGTATATTGCTTAACATTTATAGAATAGAATAGAATGGAATAAAGTAGAATACAATAGATAACTTTATTTATACAAAATGAAAACATCAGGCGTTGATTACAAAACTCTAATTACATCCTAATACCATTATACAGTGGAACCCGCCTTACGGCCACCCCTTTAATACAGTCACCTCGATATTACAGCCACTTTGCTCTGGCCCGAATAAAAGCTCAGTCAGTCATCCTCTTTTTTAAGAACCCTTAATACGGCCAGATTTTTGTGGCCCGTTGGTGACCTGGTTAACGAGGTTCCACTGTACCTCTAAAGAATAAAGTAACCTTTGATGATTATTTGAAAACTGAGCATATCTACTGTTTGTTTTCCTCGTTACAGAACTAAACAGGAGTTCTGAAAAATTTAAACAATTCATGCCATCTTACCTCACCTTACGCCACAACAACCTAGAATAAATCTTAAATCGTCGTTCTGAACCGATATGTTCTAAAAATAGAGTTATCTACAAAACTATTGTAAAGACAGCCTTAATGTGTAATTTAGGTAAAACTACGAAGTGGATGATTAAAAAACAACTCGTTTTTCAGATCAGTTCCCGATAGTTCATTGGTAAAGATTATAAGATCACTGAAGTATGCGTGAGTTGTAGTGCCACTGTCCCTCTTCAAGCCGATGTCATAGACTGAATGACCTGAATTCTTGAAGTCAAGCACTGGATTGTCAGGGATAATTCGATCCAGTTTCACATCTCCATTTATGTAGAGTCTCACTTTACGATCCGCACGTCCCCAAGTCATTGCCACGTGACGCCATACATCTGTGTCCGCGATGACGCTACAAGAAATAAGAGAAGTCAACAACGTAACTAAATCAGATAGCCTGTCACGTGGTCTTGTCAACCATCAAAGTAGACCTCGTGCTAGATGCTAGAAATGGAAAGGGCGTGATGAAGCTTGTATGAAGTTGCAAATTTTTAGGCCGTTGATGTGTAAATGAAGTGATTTAAATTGACGTGTACACCTTTTTGTAAAGGTTTTCAAGTTTTGCTTGGTCCATCAAGCCTTTATAAACAAGCACAAAGCAGATTAACGAAGGAAGGAGGGTTTTTTGTTTGTTTGCAAACAATCGATTCTCCTTATTGCCCGCCTAAAAATATCTTCTTCATTGCAAGTAAAATTTTTCACGCGTTGATCTCTGAAATCCTGACCTGAAATCTTGTAACAGCGAAATATATTTGGTGTACACGCATATTAAAAACCTGATTTCAAGTGTTGAGACAGTTCGCAGACTCGCCCATGTACTTTTCTGTAAACGACATTTAGAGCAAGCAATTAGGGCAGCATATCTGGCTCGTTAAACTAATGCAAGAGCGGGTGTTAGTTTATTTATTCACTGGCTACGCGTTTCGCAGCTTTAAATAATAAATTATACCTTGTATCTTCAAAGTAAGGGCAATGACTCCACTATTAAACAATATATTTTCATCTCGGCAGATCTTAATTTCTCTGGCAAGAGTAGTTTACACTCTAGTGTTATGAGGATGTCCAAACTCTGTCATGTGCCAGACTTTGACCCTACCCTCCTGACTGATGCAAAAAAAGTAAATCGTGTATTGACAACATACCTGGCACTTCATGAAAAAAGAATTTTATGACGCTCAAACGAACGACGATACATCATATTATTTAGACTTAACAGGCAAACTAAACAAAAGAATGAATAAAACTTCGAATAGGTAATCACCAACCGATAACTGAAACTATAGTGCATATGATAAAATCCCAGGGGTTGATAGACTCTGTTGTACCTGTAGATCCAGTCAAATTAAAGACAAAGTTCACTTACTTTTCTGCTGTCCTAAACGCTCAATTCCTAGAGACGGTTTTAACACGAAAATAAAAAAATCCAGCAAATATCAGCCAATTTTCTTCAGCAGTAACTACCAAAGAATTGGTATTTTCAAGATCACTAGTCTGAGAAAGTACAATCATATTCTATTATAAAAACCAGACTGATTTAACTTGATTTATTAGTACTACATTAGTATTTTTATCCGGCTTTGTTACGTTACATGCTTTTGCAATACTGTTAGAATTTATGGTCACCTAAATAAAGCTAGTTGTTCTTGTCATTGACCCTAAGAAAAATGGCGTATTTACCTGGATCCTGTGCTAACAACTATCATATCACTGGACCCTTGAACGTTCCGTCTTCCCTGGAAATACAGTCTACCATCTAACAAAATGCCAAATCGAAACTGCCAAGGGTTTGACCAGTCAGCATAAATTTCTTGTCTCTTTGTTAATGGTGACACCAGTTTGATCCACACTGCAATGGTAAGGTCAGTTTGTTGAAATGGAATGGCTGATGTCTCAGCATATGTCCCTTGAGTTCCATCCAAGTACAGAACTGTTTTACTATTTTTTACCACAAACTTTGCAGCTCCGTGTAAACTATGAACAAGAAAAATATTTTTCACTTCAGATCTGAATGTAACTCGTAGGTAGCATGACTGAATTGAAATAAAAATGGAAATCTCTATCGGGTTACACAAGAAGAAATATAACCTGAAACTTTGGAAACAATAAAACTGTGTGCATAGTATTCTCGTTCCTAACTGAAGATTCGCTTTTTCACGGACGAAATGAGTTAGTCATTACTGAGCCATTACGCCAGTCAGAATTAATCATTAAAATAGCAGAAGGGTGGTAGTGGGGACAAGCTTCCACTCCCTAGAAAGTGCTCTCATATGGCCTGGCAGGAGAAGTTTTGAAGGCGGGTCTCTGGCGCCTTAAAATCAGTTGCTTTGGGTAGATGGAGCTCGTCAGACTGGGAAGGCAGTCCATCTAGGAGAAGGAAAACTCTTATTTTAAACCTCCTCTGTCTTACGACCATATCCAGACATGGAAAAAAGGCTTCAGGAGTCAACCTCGAGGAAAAATCTGGAGTCGAAGCTATAGACAGGCACGTCCTGGTAACTCCTGCGATGGGGCTGGAACCAAACGTATTGGCTTCTGCTTCTCCACTGGACCATTTAAGTAACGTGGAGAGGGGGATTTGCTGCATGAGAGGCAACTCCAGAGAAAACGTGTTTGCTAAAGAAGCACTGGATGCAACTGAGTGCTTGCCTATGTTGGAGGAGATTGACAGAGAACCAACCCTTGAGGAACTCAACAAGGCCCTGAACTCGCTTGCCTCTGGAAAAGTACCTGGAAAGGACTGTATTCCTGCAGAAGTTCTAAAATGCTGCAAACTCCTCCCCAAGATCGGATGCCTGCCCAGGTTCTTCAGCATCATTAGATCCATCCATGAGGACATGAAGCGCGCCGTGGCCTTTGACGGCTGGACACCTTACCCTTTTGACATCCTAAGCGGCGTGAAGCAAGGTTGCGTCCTGGCACCGACTCTGTTCGAAATCTTTTTTACCATTGTCCAGAAGCATGCTTTCGGATCTGCAACAGAAGGCATCTACTTCCGCACCAGGTCAGACGGGAGGCAAATTCCAAAGTCCAGCCAAAATGTCTGGGCGATTTCCTCTTTGCCGATGACGCGGCAGCTACCGCCCACTCAGCTGAAGGCACCCAACAACTCAGGAACTGCTTCAGTGAGACCTGCCGAGACTTTGGACTTACCATCAGTCAGAAAAAAAACAAAAGTTATGGGACAGGATGTGGATTCCCCATCCGACATTACAATCTCCGATCATGAACTGCAAGTCGTTCACGACTTTGCATACCTATGCTCCACCATCTCAGACACTCTCTCCTTAGATTCGGAGCGAAACCAACGCATTGGCAAGGCAGCTACCACCATGTCCTGGCTGACAAAGAGAGTATGATCCAACAACAAACCATAGTCTCTCGAGACTGACGGTTGCCCATTAGCAGAGTTGAGCGACAGAGAAAACAATTCAGTGTTGGCCTACATGTCTAAAAAAAACCTTTGTACATACCAAAGTTTTAACAAAGAGACTTTTCATTTCATCACAAAAACTTAGAAAGAATGAAAACAACATTCTTACTTTAACAGGTTATCCGTGCTACTGAGCGTCCAGTGAAAAAGGGAGTCTGCAAAAATAATAATTTAAACTTAATGGTAGAGGTAAAAACTCCTACAATACAAACTGTTTTTTTTTTTTCTACTTCTGCTTATTACGTTTTCGCTGTTTTACGAGTACACAGTACACAGTACACAGTATATAGTGCAAAATGGTTTTCCCCATATTTCACGGATCATGGCTTGAATTAATGAAATAAAAGTGGTCATAAACTAGCCATAAACTATTCCATATATAAAAGATTAGGATCTTACAGGGCTTGAATACGGTTAACCGTCTTTGTGCTTGGCTAGCGTAATTAGTTTCGTTTTGGTTTATCGACATAATTGAAAACAGTTCTACGTCGTAGAATACTTGTATGAGGTTGTGTCATTAATGCTCTATTACTATGTATCAAAGTATCAAATAGCCATTGCCATCCTCAGACAAGAAACGTGTCTATAAGAGTGGATGTCAAGTTTAAACCTCTTGTAATGGAAATATTTCTCATGTCTTGCGTACCGAAAAGGATCAAAACTGTGGCTGTTAGCAGTGAAAAGAGAACGCCAAAATATCAGCCGCAAATCGCAAACATCAGTAACCCACTGAGGCGCTCCACTAACCTTTCTCAATATGGCAATATGTCTGAATGGCTTTACCAGTGTTATGACGGTCCAACCAGTAATAACCGTTGACTGCTTCTTCTCCTTCACTCGCCTTGATTTCCAAACACGACATAGCTGGTACCTCAGGGGTGGACCCGAGAGGTACTGAGAGTCAAAATAACGAAAACGTTAAACGCACACGAGTTATACCAGTAAATCAAATGCACGCTAGCGTTTCTTAAGGGAAGTTGAAGATTTCGTTATTCTGCTTTCTTTAATAAAGACTAATTCAGTTACAGCTACTGTTCCTGCTGCCACTCTTGCTAGAACTACATGTACTGATACTTCACCTTTACATGCATGGTCTAACGTACAAGGTTACATACTGGTAACCCTCAGATTCATCGATGGATACCGCTACCGTAGTACATGGAACCCTTCCTTTGGGTTTTCTTTCCAGCAAGACATATTTTACAGATAGCTGCTGGTACTACTACTCCTGCTGCTGTTACTGATGCTGGTTCTACATACCATTGCTACTTCAGCTTTACGAAGCTCAATATACAAGGTTATATACTATTTACGCTGTTTAGGGTATAGATAACTTCTAAATAAATGTCTTCTCAAAGACGCACCAGCTCCTGAAAACGCAGAAAACTGATATTAAGGAAGAAAAGGAAAAACTGAGCTACTAGGCACAGTGTGAGTAGACTCCCTTGTGACAGGCCACCAAACTAAATAAATAAAATAAACCAATAACTTTATTTAAGTGCCAAATGCATTTAGCAGTTTTGCTATTTGGTGACACTGTAACTAAATAAACAATTCTTGCAAATAGAACACAAACTATTAAGAATCCCAACTGGGAGGAGGCTGAACAGTTGGCGAGGTCGCTGCGGTCGAGGAGTTGATGTCTGGACTACCGAGAGCAAATCTAGAAAGCGGTGGGGTGAAGGATTTGAACCAGGGACTTCCAGATTTCAAATCCAGCGCCCCAAACCGCTTTGCCACGCCACCGCCTCCTCTCGAGCCAATCAATAATTAACTTAAAAACAAAACTCCAGTACAGTAATTGATAAAGATAATCAAACGAACACTTACCTTTATTAAATGGAACGGTCATGTAAATCCTTCCTGGGTCTGTCACATAATCTTCAGGTCTTACTTCCTTGCTTCGGTTATTAAGCTCGCAGATATTTTCTTCCATCACGTAGTTGATGCTTTGACATCTTCGCTCAATCTGGCATCTTTTGATGCAAACATCCGGCCTGTTCACATGGAACTTGTCAATCATGTGACCTCTAAGAGCTTTCCTGAAAATTGACACTTGCGACTTGCATTGGCCGGTAGCGTCACTTTGTGGGATCCGGGACACAAAGTGGAGGAAAATCACGACAGACAGGAATCTCAGAGAGATATGGGACGTCATATAAGCAGCAGTGAGTTTTAGTGATGTATCGGCGAGGTTCTGAAATAAAAGCAAAGTTCTGTCACGTAACTACTTCACAGAGCTCTACTTACTAAGCAATAACGTTTTTTTTTTCTTAGGTTTTGGTTACCTGTAGGCTTGGCCCGGGGTACTCCCTTATATGGGCTATATGGGTATGTGCGGCCCCAAAGGGTAGGGTTTTTCAGTCGTTTTGGTCATAAATAGGGTATCGATTTTGGCAATTTTGGTCTTGAATAGGCTATGGTTTTAGCGCTCTAGTTTTGAATTGGGGATGTTTCTTGGAAGAAGCTACTTTTTCATCATTATCAATAAGACCGTCAGAAAAAGCTCTTCATAACTTGTTTAGGGCAACTCTGCCAGCCGCAACGGTCATAAATAGGGTATCGAATTTTCGGCCAGGTCATAAATAGGGTAGCAAAAATCGCAGATTTTCGTCATAAATAGGGTTACGGTTTTGGGAAGTGGGCCGCACATCCTCACCACAATACACCGATTCCAGAAAAAAACCGGAAGTTGCACCGAAACGAGGTTTAATAGCCCTCGCGGTAATTAAAGCAACATGGCGAACGAAGAAGAAAGGCCAATCTCTCTTCTGATGATATTCCCGGCGTCAGTGTGAGCGAAGAAC